TGAAATGAACACACCCATGTGTCACCCACGTAGGTCACCTGTTTCCAAACATTTCTGAAGTTTTTCTTACTGCTGTGCTTTGATGTGAACTTAAGTTGCAAGAATATCAAGGCAAACTTCACAGCTTACTAAAAGCAATGAAGCTAACACTCTGGAAAGAGGAAGGATGTCACTTTCTATTTGGAGGGGATGAGAAACTTGGTAAGATTTTTGCTGGTGTTCTCAGGATCAGCCTGATCAGTGATGCTGCACTTAAAAGTACTTAAAAGTACTATCAGGTGGGACATGAAAGCTATCAAGACTAAAGCGGGCACCACCCCACCAGAAAGAGTAGCGTTCTATGGTATCCCCTCACATCTCCATAAAATGAAAACATTCACCATTTGGGAGTTTGTTAAATGACGGCCAGGATCTCCTCCTACTGTTGCGGAAGTAAAACTTTGCCAAGGAGGTTTTGGAAAGTGACAGGGGCAGGGCTATCAGCTGTCCCACTCTTGTGAACAAATAGGTTTGGTTGACACTAGAGGCTTTTCTCTAAGCCTGCTGACACCCTGGAAGGAGGCAGTGGGGAAACCAAGATGACATGAGAAGAAAGGAGCGGAGGAGAGAAGCCAGCCATATTTATGCTGAGACCCTGGTGTTAGCTGTTCCAAAGAGATTTGCCAGCAGGACTCCCCTCACTGCACCCTAGGTCCTTCAGCAAAAACCAAGGCCAGGATAGGGACGTGGTACTGCAAAAGGATCAAGAGCTAGACTGAACAGCTGGGGGTGGGGTGTGGATAGGATTCTGGGGATGAAGAAGTTGCTGCTGGAGACAAGCTGGGAAATCAGCTCACTTATTTAGCCAATTCTAAGCTGCCATGCTGTTGCCATCGGGACTTCATTCCAGGCACATAAGGCCGACACAGAACTTCCCCAGGCTCAGGGGAAGTGCTAAAAGTATGCGGTTTTGGAATGGAAAAAATCCTGGGTGGAGACCTAGCATCCTGGAGAGGAGTCTGGGAAATCTGCTTGGTATTAGGTTCCCTTGGAACCCAGTTGGAGTGCCAGAATAAAGTATCCCTGCACAGCTTGGCGATGTGAATTGCATGGTGGTCCCTGGGGTCCTAACTCTAGAGTGCCCATGCCTTGACTAAAAGACCTACCCTTTCTTTCCCACCCTCTGCAAAACTGTTGAAGTTACTCTCTGGCAACACATCCTTTATATCATGGTCTGATCTCGCTAATGCTATGGTGAGATAACAGAAAGGTCTGTTCCACACTTGAGGCCTCTTAGGAGAAGTGAAGGATAACGTCCTCTACTCCCCATCCCTTCTTCATCCCATTAGCAACAGCTACAGCAGAGAGGCTATCAGTCATCTAGACCCAGGTGGAGTCAGATACAGGACCACGACGACCTGAAGTGAGCCCAGGACCTAAGAATATGAGCACACACGTTCTTGAATGCACCCAAGCTATCCCCTGTGAAACTCGTAGAAATGACTGAGGACACCGTCAGGTAGAGGGAATAAATTCTTGCAATCCAATAGGCAAAAGTTCGAAGTCATTGAAATGGATAAAAATTATTTGACAATAATATATTTGGGTAATAATAACATCATATTATTGTCACAGGCAGATGAGGCCTGGACATGATAATTACATTTTGGGGACTCCTTATGAGATCTGTATTGCAGACTAGTCACTGACCCTAGAACTGGACTAGTTAACATTGGAAATGGGGTGGATACTTGACTTAAATAATTGTGTGTCTTAAGGACTCACTTAGTTGACCTTCTCTAAATAATTAACAGTCTGGCATAAAGTCAAACTCAGGGTTCCAAGAAATAAACTATTTACTGCTTTTAAGTGACATGATTTCAGGATTCTAATTCATTAAAGATTTAAATAATAATCTTAAGGCCTGAAGTATAGCCTGGGCACCCAGTTACATAAATAATTTCAGCTTAATCTTAATGCCTGAAACTTTTATTCCATTTCTAATTATTTCCTTGGTATTAATTTCTAGATATGGAATTATTGAGTCAAAGATGAACATTTTTAAGTCTCTGGATATACATAATCATATTGCTTTGGTAATACCAATTTGCATGTTGTGTATGGGAGTATGCAGTAGTGCGCATTATCATTGAAAAATCTCTGTTAACGTGACAGTTGAAAATTTACATCTCATTGTTTGTTTGATTTACCTTTCTATTAAAGAAAGGCTGAGGTTAAATTGTTTTTCCTATTTTTGTGGGACAGTTATAGCTCTTGTTTCGTGAATTGTCTGCTCAAAAAGAGTTGCCTTATTTGGATCTTTGTCCTCTTCTTAATAAATTGTAGATCCTTTTTAATATATTAAGGCCATTAACCTTTATCTTTTATACCTGTTGCAAGCATTTTCTCCAGTTATTTTTTTCAGTCGAAGATGCAGGTGAATTGTCTGCCTGCCTTTGTTTTAGTTTCTTCCCAGGAGCCTGCTTCAGGATCCTGCCCCTTAATTCCAAATGCCGCAGCCCACGGCACATAACTGATGCTCCACCTCGGGGGTGGGCCGAGGTGCTCTCTTCCCCCAGCATCTGGGACCCCTGCTTA